AAAAGTATCCGTTTCTACAAAGAACCCGAAAGAGAACACTCAAGCTATAGAACAATATCACTGATATCACATGCCAGTAAAATGTTGCTGAAAATCTCCCAACAATGATTGCAGCAGTACGAGGTCCCGACTGGATTCAGAAGAGGATGTGGAACTTCGACGGTGAATGATGAATCTTGACTCAAAGCAGAGAATCCCAGAAAGCTGTTGACTTGTGTTTATTGACTGTGTGGATCACCAACTGTGGATCACCTTCAGGAGAACGGGAATTCCAAGACACTTCATTGTGTTCATTCGGAACTTGTATATGGATGGAGAGGCAGTAATGCAGACAGAACAAGGGATTGCTGCATGTTTTCAAATCACAAAAGGTGTGCATCGGGGTTGTATCCTCTCACCATACTTACTCAATCGGTATGCTGAGCAAATCATCCGAGAAGCTGGATTTTATGAAGCGTGTGCCATCAGAAGAATGTGGAGGAAGGTTAATTAACAACCTGTGATATGCAGATAGCACAACCTTGCTTGCTGAAAGCAAGGAGGACTTGAAGCACTTGCTGATGAAGATCAAGGATTATAGCCTTCAGTATGGATTATGATTCAATGTAAGGAAGGCCAAGATCCTCACCACTGGATCAGTAAGCAGCATCAGGATAAAAGGAGAAAAGGTTACGGTGTCAAGGATGTTGTCTTGCTTGGACTCACAGTCAATGCTCATGGGAGCAGCGGTCAGGAGATCAAAAGTTGTACATGAGTTGTATTATGTAAATCTGCTGCCCAAGACCTCTTTGGAGTATTGAAAAGCAAGGATGTTACTTTGAGGACTAAGGTGCTCCTGACCCAGGCCACAGTAATTTCAGTTGCCTCATGGGCATGTGAATGTTGGACATCGACTAAAGACGTCTGAAGTAGAATCAATGCATTTGAATTGTGTTGCTGGAGAAGAATATTGGAAGTACCACGGACTTCTCAAAAGACAAGCCCATCTGTCTTAGAAGCAGTCCAGCCAGAGTGCTCCTGAGAGGCAAGGATGGCATGCTGTCAGGAGAAACCACTCCCTGGAGAAGGGCATCAGCTTGGTGGGGGGACAGTGAAAAAGAGGGAGACCCTCAACGAGACAGACTGACATAGTGGCTGCCACAACGGGCTCAGGCCTAGAAACCGTGGTGAGGCTAGCGCAGGACCGTGCAGGGTTCCGTTCTGTTGGGCATAAAGTCACTATGGGTAGGAAGCAACTCGGTGGCAGCAAACAGCTACCAAAGAGACTAAGGCAATATACTGCGCAGAGAACATTTCTATCCACACACTGATCAGCGAGACATGTTTAGACGTGTTTGGTTTGGGATAAACTCATGCATGTCTGCATGGGAACCCTGCTAGCAATATTTTTTACTTAACCTTCACAAATATAGGGAGAAAGATGGGGCTTTCTACTCCTGTAAAGAGTTACAGTCTTGGAAATCCATAGGAGCAGTTCTACACTGTCCTATATGGTTACTATATGTCCGCATAGTAAACTCGTTGCCAGAGAGTCTGGCTTTGGGGTTTTGTTTTCCCCCAGAGACACAGATTATAGTTTTAAGTAAGGAGCAGGGTAGAATCCTCACCTTCCATGAGGGAAACCTGGGTTGGATTCCCAGCCAATGACACTTCCTGCTCAGCTGTCTGTGATGGGTTGCTATGATGCAAACAGCCTTCAGTGTAGCTTCCAGACTGAGACAGGCTTGGAAGAAAGGCCTGGCAAGCTACTCCCTAAAACTCAGCCAGTGAAAGCCCTATGGATCACGACAGTTGCATTTGGCGGTGCATGGGGCCCGCCATGACTTGGGGGCCAACTGGACAACAACAACATACTATCCAGTGTTAGAAGTAACCCGAACAAAAGGCATAGCAATCAAGTGGTGGGTGTGTTGCTTAGGAAGGGGAGCCAGGAAGCAGTGTCAGCCAGGCCGTGACACTGGGGCATGAAGGAGAGAGCCAAGCAGGTGTCTGGGGAAGGGCTGCTGCTCATCCGCAGAGGAACAACAAGTACAGGGACTATGAGGAGGGTCTTTACACCGAGAGCTGATGCAGCTGGAGGCGGCGG